AGAGGATATGAGATGGAAAGAGTAGGAGTGAGAGGAACATGGTTTATTAGGAATTTAATTAAAATAAAAAACAAAATTAGGTGTGAGGTGAGAATAACAGACTCTAAGTTTGAATCTTGATTAGTGTATATGGAGAAAACCTTGTTAGAAGGCGAAAAATCACCTTGTGAGGGTTAATAGATCTCTTAGAGGAGATTAAAATTCTCAATAATTGGTTGAGATATTCTTTTATTACACACGCACACACATGCACGCACACACACATAGCAAAGAAATATTATTAAAAATATTTAAGTAAAAAACCTTGTTCCTCTTCCCTAATCTCACTACACAACAATAATCGCATTCCATATGAAATCATTTGGCTTCAATCTTTCCAACTTCATCTTCTCAAACAACATTAGTGCATGCACAATTTCCCCCACATTACAAAATCCACATTCCAACAATTATACACAAGAATTGACATTATCCTCACAAGGCCTTTGCTTTATTACAAAAAAGAAAAAAAAACATTATCACGCCTACACTTTTGAAAACATAGGGAGAACTACAGTCGTAAAGCATGAAATTGTTAAATGCATAAAGCAAAAAATACCAATTTTAATAGGAAAAAAATAATAAAAAAAGTTATCGGCTATTTAGAGAGCAGGGGAAACTATGAGAGAGAAACAAGATTTTTATAATATATTGTAAAAAATAAAATGCAAACTACAATAGTACCCCCTAAATGATTTTAATAGAATGAAAAGTGTAGATGGATTTTGTCTTAAAAATTTTTTAGTAGGTTACTAACATACTCCAATTAAAACAATAGTGAGTTTGGTACCCAAGATTGGTTTATGACTATTGTTTATGTTAGTCTACATCCCTAGTTAAAAGTGGGGTTATGGATGGACCTTAAGAGGATCTCGAGACATATCACCTACTTCTTGGAGCCTCCTAAAAGGTTTTAATGCGATCCTTAAGGACCATGAGCGTCCAGATGGCTTAGGTAGCTTGTCCAAAAAAGGAGACTTGGCATTAAGAGAGTTCGTCATCAAGTGTAGCTAATAGATATCGGGTTCCAAG